AGGCATACTAATAAGCAACTAGTTAATAGTGAGAATTGGTCCCTAAAGTGCTACATTTAAAACATAAGTTGAAATAACGCAAACTGATGTAAAAGCATGTATCATCTATTAACAGACTCGGAGCTCACAGTATAGGTCTGTCTTTAAAGGTTTACAAGTTATTCTTAAAAATCTATTTCCCTATGGAGAAAATGAATGGCATTTTTAATTTCTGGAACCCGACTGTTGTGTTCAGGGCTGCGTATCCCAAAAGCATCCTAAGTTGATCGTAGCTCCATTGGTGGCAATGGGTCTACGGTGTACTTACGATGCTTTTGAGAAACGCAGCCCTGGTTGGTTGCTGGCTGATTACTTACTGAACGAAATCACTAAAGCCCACCTAAGTCTCTATGATGTTCTGGCCTGCAGTGTGTACTGCAAATACACATTGTTTCATTGTTGATGTTTATAATTTTATCTTCTTGTCTTATAGTCGCATTTAGCACATTAGAGCTAGCCGGTAATGTAGTTTGCATTTTGTGATGATACAAGTTGAGCTATGCTATTTAGTATAAATCACCCAACATGAGTATAATGTATGTATGCGTTATAATTGGACATACTTTTAACTAGTTTTCAACTTGATATAAAGAATCTGATCATTTAAAAAAGTAATAGTATATTTCTCCTAAACAAGCTGCACAATCTTATTATATGTAAAAGATGCACAAACATTTTAAAATAGGGTAAAGGGTTTGTTCAAATCTCTAACCCAGTGTGTCACCAAAAGCAATAGTGATGCTTGCCTTAGCAAAAAACACTAATAATTAGTATTGACTTATAGCATTAGTATTTAGTATTGACTGATTAGCATGATATTTTTGCTAGATAAAGGATAACATTTCCATCAGTGAGGCTGGAGATAGCAGATGTCCCTTCAGCTAAAAGTGAATTACTATTGATGTTTCAGTCTTATTCAATAAACCCTGAGATTGTCACATGGTCGCCTGCTATGGCATATCAATAGCCAGTGTGCTGATTCAGACATTCATAGCTTGGCACCTGTGATTCTCCAGTTTACTGCACATGCAAGCTAACACTGTAGATGCTTGGTGGATTTAGTGTGTACGTATATACAAAGAATAAGCCCCGTAGCATAGATTTATATGCCTGATCGATAGATCAATATCTCAGCTAGAGAATGAGGGGAAATCCTTTTTATTTCACACACTGTGTAATATCAGCAGAGCAGAGTACCTCAGGGATTTGTACTGAGCCCGTTCCTGCTGAGAATAAACATCATTGAAGACTGATAGAAATGCCTTATACTACTCCCTCTATGACTAACCAAGTCCTTTCTGTTCTTTAGAGCTGCATGGCCTCTACATTGATATCAGTCAGACAGTTTGTGACTTTAAAGTAAACTTTATTTTGATTCAGTATTACATACTTTCAGCTAAAACCAAATAGCATAGTTCCAGTCAAGGAGAAACATCTCAAAGGTATTTTACAGTAACATACTCTCTCTCTCTCTCTCTCTCTCTATATATATATATATA